GGGCGAGAGCAGTTCTTTATCGGGTAACCAGTGTTAAATCTCATATATTTTACATTGCAAAACTTGGGGTTGGAAATAGTAACATTTTAAAGTGACCAGTCTATTGGATATTATAAATCATTGAAATGTACTTGTTATTTTCAGAAATCATTTAACAAAGTTAAATATGTTTAATATTTTTTTTAAAAAAGGGTTTTGCAATTAATGTCAAATTGGTCAACTGGACACACAACTAATGTAAATTTAAAACCAGCCGGTATGTGCAAATAACTACAGGATACACAGCTAAAGTCCTGTTTCCCTCTTAACAATCTAGGAATTACATTATAAAGTTTGTACCATCATAAAGTCTGCTGATGGGACCAAGCTTTTTATTGAGGTATGAAGTTCAAGGGCGATGACAGCATTCATAGAGACCTGGACTGTATAAATGGATACTTCAAAGAAAAAGAAACGGCAATTTTTTTGATTGAAATGTATGTAAGGTAATCAATGGTTTGTTAAAAGTTGGACTTGTTACTGACACCACAATGGTGAAAATGTATAAGTTCATGTCATTTTGAATGTAAAATGTCAGGGTCAAGCAGCTCATTAAAAGCTTGCGAAGCATGAAATGATCATTATTGCTGGTGCTTAGTGATCTTCAGATATTTTTCTGCCACTCTTTTCAATCATAATTCACACATTAAAAACAATATGTTAAAATAAACTTAAAAATAATTTCTCATATTATGCCTGTATGACCGATTTGACATTAATTGCAAGACCCTTTTTTAATTTTGTCAGTCTGATAATTTTATTTTTTTCTCTGGTGTGTTTGTTTAGCGACACACCATAATAACACCAATTATTATGTCCCTCACCGGGTTCTGATTACATATTTTCTGCACTCAAATGTTGCATTCAAAGCTTACATGACCCAACAAGGTCCAAAGAACCCTTATTGAGCTTGAAATTGAAAAATGCTATGTGAATATGTTTTTAGAAATGTTTTCAGATTACTCGAGCGCACTCCTCACCGATCTCCCCAGCTCCACTATTCGAAAGATCCAGCTCATTCAGAACTGCTGCCCACATATTTACCTGGACCAAACTCCGTACCCACACGTCACCAGTTCTGGCCCAGTCTCCACTGGCCCCCACCACCGAACGGATCGACTTCAAGCTCCTCGCTATCGTGTTCAAATCCCTTCACTCCCTGGCACCTCCCTACCTCTCCGACCTCCTCACTCCTCACCACCTTGCCATCAGCCTCCTGCTCGTCCCTCACGCTCTCCACTCCACTCCAATATTGTAGGTCGCGCATTCATCCACTACGCCTCAAAATTCTGGAACCTTCTCCCTCAATCCCTCTGCCTTGCTCTCTCCAACCCCTTTTTCAAGTCCCACCTGAAAACCTTCCTTACGGGCACTTTCGATCCCCTCCCCCCCTCAGAGTCACTGTTAAGTGCTCTGAGACGCTATCTTGCGTGGAGGGCACTAGATATGTCCAAGTTCTGGTAGAAAACGAGAGACAACTTTCTTCAGCTCAACGTGCGTAAAACTGAGGCCCTCCTGATTGGCTCACGTTAGCGCCTCCGCACCTCAGGCGCTGACAGCATCAGCATCCAAGGCTGCACTCTCCACCTCTCAAAGCCATTCAGGAACCTCGGCGTTCTGTTCGAGCCTGAGCTGTCCTTTCTTCCTCATATCCACTCCACAACTGGCACCGCCTTCCATCACCTCCGGAATGTCGCCAGACTATGGCACTCCTTCACCCCTCACGCGGCTGAGACTCTGGTCCACGCCTTTATCACCTCAAGGCTGGACTATGGGAACTCTCTCCTCGCGGCCTTCCCGGCCCTCCCTCCACACTGCAGGTCATTCAGAACTCTGCAGCTCATGTACTGTCCCGCACCAGGCTTCGCGACCACATCACTCCCACCCTCGCTCGCCTCCACTGGCTCCCCATCCCCCAGAGGATCGATTTCAAGATCCTCATCCTCACCTACAAGGCCATTCACGGCCTCGCTCCCTCCTACCTCTCTGACCTACTATCCCCTACCGACCTGCCCGTACCCTCCATTCCTCTGGCTCCGGTCTGCTCCACATCCCCCGCCCCAACCGCCCTACCATCGGTGGTCGGGCCTTCAGTCTCTCAGCCCCGAGGCTCTGGAACTCCATCCCCCAGTGCCTTCGCCGCTTCCTCCCTTTCCTCCTTCAAGGCCGGTCTTAAGACCTTTCTCTTTGACTGTGCCTTCAGCTCCCCTCTCGACTCTCTACACCCCTCCTCGCTCCCTCCCTTCCCTCCCCCCACCCTGACCATTTCCCCCCTGTTCGGGTCCTGACCCAACTGTACAGCGCCTTGGGACGTCTATAAATGGAATCTTGTTGTTGTTGTTGTTGAAAAGCTCTGTATTTTCAAATGACTTATTTTCAGTGGTACTTTAAAACAATATAATAATAATCCTTCATTCCATTAGCACCTTTCACTTCGGGAGGACATCTCAAAACGTTCCAGAGGATTTACTGTGAGTGTAGTGACTGTGTCTTTTCATAGGCGAACGGGGCAGCCAAATTGCACACAAGCGATGCAAGTTCTTCACATATGTCAGTTTACTCTGCGTTTCTTCTTACTCGGCATATCAATTCATGCTACTCTTCGACCAAAAATAGCTCAAAAATAATGCCATGCCACGTTCTGTATTAAAATCGAACATATAAAAGCTCAGTTGCACGGATTAAACTGCAAAAGTACTGCACTTCTCACACCTTTGCAAATTGTACTTGATACTTTGGTGTGGGATTTCTGTGTGAATGTTACTCTGGTCTTGTGCCTTGTCTTCCTCTGACACTGCGAGTCTATCATTACCGTGTCCTTGTTTACACCCTCGCCTGTGTGTTTGATGTTGTTTGATAGTGAATGTGAGGCCGGTGTTGAAGGTTCGTTCCCACGCGTTGGAGATTAACAAAAGTCGAGGCTTAACAGCTGCACATTCAGCACAAAAGCACCCAACCAGGTCAGATAGAACTGAAAGGGGTGTATACGGTTACAGGTTCTCGATTATGTTTGTGTAAATATCTGGAGGAAATGTTGTACGTACATTCTGTGCATATATATGTATATGTACGTATGTGTGAGCGCTATATAAATGTACTGTATAAGTGTGTGTGTGTGTGTTTGGGGGGTGGGGGTATAAATGGATGGATGAGTCTGCCCTTCAGTCTGTCAGTCTGTCTGATAATAAAACTTCTAAAGATTTCCTGATACAGATTTTACGAATTATTTCGCAGTTCTTCATTCCAGTGAGGTACAATGAAGAGCTAATAGATTATGTTCTCAATTCAAACCCGAAAGACAAAAAACTGTTTGTTGCACAGCAGCACCTCATTAAATCCATGATTCTTACAATATATTGCTGTTCACAATTGGTTTAACAGATGCCAATATAATAATATATTATTATTCGACCACAAATATACGGTCAATTCACTTTACAGTCTATTCTGTGAAGCGCTTTGAGACGCCGAGAAGACGTGAAAAGCGCTATATCAAATGCAAGGATTATTATTATTATTATTACAATAATAATCTTTGCATTTGATATATCGCCTTGTCACGCCGTTGAGACGGCTAAAAGCGCTTCACAGAATATATTGTAAAGTGACTTGACTGTGTATGGTGTGGGCGAAAATTGCGGAGAAATTATGGATATTTTAAAATATTTTGAAATATTGCAATGATGTTAAGTATATCCATCGCCCTATAACGTGTTATGCATCCAGTTATCTCCAGTCGCTGTACGGATTATTTCATCCAATTGGGTTCCCTACCCTACGAATACATTGAAAAGTAAAGACCGAACGATAAGTGACTGTTAAATCTAAGGTAGAGCAACAACAACAACGACAACAACAACAAAAATGAAACATATAAAGGATGGAGCAACGCGAGGTGGGAACCCGTGGCTTTCCTCCCAGGCGCCAGTCACTTGTTGTTAAAAGTTTTCCCAATGTCGAAAGTACAAAGGATCAATGGTCAAGAGCTCTGGTGCAGAACAAAAACACACGCTTTTACTCCCAAAACAGCTGGGCCAGCTTGAGCTTGTGTCCCGCTCACTTCTCAAGTTTGGATCGATTCTTTTATGTCCCCGGAATGTGCACTCCCAACAGATAATCAAACCGCTGCACTAAAACATCTGTTGACAGTTCGGATATCACTGGGTGTCTGTGACTGCTGGTGCTGCACACACTGCCTTCAGCATCAAAGGCAACGAGGGTCCACCTGATCTGACATTACTGAAAGTGGCAAAATAAAATAAAAATCCGCCAAGCAGGCAGAGCAAAATAAACAGTTACATAGAATTAAGACACAATTGATATTCGTCGATTAAATTCGTCGATTATTATTATTATTATTATTATTATTATTATTATTATTAAATGGCGATAAACATACGCCATTCATAACATGACTGTATACTTTAATGTTCAATGAACACATTTAGATTGCGTTTTTACATTGTTGGTTTGGTCTGTTAACAGATAACTAACCAGGGAGGACTCACAGGACAGGGGCGTTTATTTTGTCCAATCCTGCTTCACAGATCGCTAAATATAACAAACCTGATTACACCTCGAGTTACTGTACAATTAAATATTCGCCCTTTAATTTCCAGTGGGGCTTTTAATGTGCTTGGAAATTCTTCTAAAGCAGATGTCAAGAGCAGACACACTTTGTTGTGTAATATAACTCTTGTGTCAAAGGACATGAAGGGACTTTCCCAGGTTCTCAAGGCTTTGAATGTGACTAATTGCCCCGGGGTTTGCTCTGTCACACTGACTGTCCAGATGGTCCTCTGAGACTCCCACGCAATGTCAAACCCCATCATTAGTTTGACATTTACAACGCAGCCATTCTGCTATTGTCCTTCTGAAAGCACTCGTTGGCTGTGGAGTGTGGGAAAGCTCAAGGAAAAACGACCCACACTTTCTCATGGAAATTCGGAATTATAAATAGAGGAGGCACCTCGGTCCAGGCAGCAGAACCTCCTGACTTTGTGCACAACTCTCGGAACATGGCTCCAACCAACTCTGTGGAAATGATAGGCAGAGAATACTCGGAGGAGAAGTTCACAGCCAAACAGAAAAGCAAAGTAAGCAAAACGCCACACCGACGCTGCAACACTGCGTTCAAAAAAAAAAATAATAAAGCGGGTGTCATTGAGCAAATGCAATGTTTGCGTTGGGTTTACCATCTCATTTCGTCTTGTTTTCAGATAATGAAAATAACGGTGGAGAAAAGGCGCCGAGATCGGATAAACAGCAGCATCAACCAGCTCAAGGCTTTACTGGGAAGAGAGTTTCAGACTCAGGAACCAAACATGAAACTCGAGAAAGCTGATATCCTCAAAATGACAGTAAATTATCTAAAATATCACAACCAGGCATTCAGAGGTGAGGTTCATCTATTTCGCTTTGCTCACTGTTCACCACGAGAGTGGTTGTTGGATTGACTGTCCCTGTGTCCCCAGTACACCTGGTTTTAACCTGTATTCTCCTGTTCCCCCCCTTGCAGTCGGCCTCCCGGTGAGCAGTGTGGAGCAGGATTACAACGAGGGTTACTCCAGGTGTTTGCAGGAGGCTCTGCGATTTCTCTCTGTGCAAGAGGGCAAGAGCGACATTCAGAGGAAGCTGGTCAGCCGATTTCAGAGGACACAGCAAATAACAACCAAGGACCCGTCTCACTCCGGATCCTCCTCGCACTCTCCTTCCCATCAGACAACCACCAAACAGGCAACACAGCATCACATCACCGCGCTCTGGAGGCCGTGGTAACGCTGGAATCACTCAGAAAGACCCTTTCCTCTGTTACAGGACTCAGACCGCGTAGGGGATTCATTCTCCAGTGTCAGTAATGGTGATTTTTTTTTTGAACTGAAAAATGGAAAAGTGCAGTACGCTTTGCTTCATGTTGAAGGCAGTACATAATCCCTAAATTAGGGACAATTTGTAAAGACATGTATTCCTGACTTGGTTTTTATTTTAGATTTTGCGAGGCTGTGTTGGTTGCAATCATTCGGTAAGAACAACAAAGACGCGATCTATGTGTAGGAGGAATATTTCTTCGCTTTATTCCTTTGGTGGGGATGCTATTTTTTTCTTCATGGTGAAGATAACCTGTACATCCACAGCGCCTAATGTCACGGGTGTTAGAAGTGTGTTAGAAGGGGTGAAACTTCAAAGAGTGGCACTCTGTCAAATCAGTCAGTCTTGTTACGCCCGCACCTGTTTGCAAGGCGTTATACAACAAACAAGTGACATACAGTGTCAAAATAAATATTCTGTTTGAATGTACGTGAATCTATTTGTATTGTATACACGGAAACCTTGAAATAAATGATTTAAATCGACTTTGGACGATTTGGGGTGAAACTGATTTTGCAGTTGCAATGTACATTAAGATAATGTAGAACATTAACTCGAACTAAGACCAATTTATCCGATTGATGCAATTAACTCTCTGCTACCCTTATCTGTTGGAAATGAATAACACGATAATATGCAAGAAGGAATTTAAATTCTTTCTTTTAATCCCAACTCAATTGAAAGTCGCTGTGAATCAATATCCCAGCCAATGAAGCTCTGTTAACTTGCGTGAAACGCAAAACCTTGGCAATGTTATAGTTTAACAGAAAGACTTGAAATCTTATCTGTTTTTAATGTCATGGAGGAGTGTGGTCTACTCTTAGCGAGCAGATCATTTTAGACAGCAGTTTATTTTCATTATTGATATTGGAGGAAAAAGGGAAGATATCTACTCAAAACAATTAAATATCACAGTGCTTAACAGTATCCAAACCAAACAGATTTCCATGCATCCCACTCACACATGGCAATACAAGAGGGATTGTAGGAATGGAATGGAACGCTCACTCTCTCCCTGGAGGGACACAGTCTACTTACCCAATCCAGAAACTATTAGGCACAGGTTGTTAAGAGCCAAGGCTTGGGGACGCCCAGAGTGTGCGCTGGGGTTAACTGCTGGGACCTAACTAGCTAAAACCACATAAACCCCATTGAGAGCACCGCCTGGAAGCTTTCCCGCTGCTTGTCCAGCGAGGACCACCCTCCCCGTTAGGGCTTTGGCTGCAGGGTTAACAGGAGCTGAGTGGGATGAATCCCTGCCCCCCAGTGACTGGTCGGCCCTTACAGGTCCTGCCGATGAGCCAGGCCGGGCTGTGCTATCATCAGCAGTGAGTGCCCTGGAATACTGTGGACCAGCCTGGCTGAGGAACCAGAGGGCTGGCTCCATTCTGACATTCCAAGGCCAAATATGTTACCTTGGAGCTAGTTCAACTCCAACGAGACTCGCTTCTCTCCCCCTTGTCCTCCTCTTCCCCCAAGGAGGAAAGTGACTAGTTTCAGGGCCTTTACATCCCTGTGTTACTGTGGCACTCTTCAATGTGTTGAGTTGTTAAAAGAATTGAGGTTGCTAAAGCTGTCAGTGAACGACCTTAAGACTTGCTCATTAGTACACAATGGTTGTTCGAATACTTCCTCTCCCATCAGAGCTGCAATTCAATTTCAAGAGAGTTATAATAATAACAATAATAATAACAATTCCGAGAGAGTTCTTCTCATGCGGTGGTTGTCCTCGATGCTGTGTCACTTCATACAAAACAATCACTACCAAGTGGTGCACATTCTATTCACTGTTAACTCTACATGAACCTCCGTTGAACTCGAATTGAACCATGCAGAAGCAATCAATGGGAAAGGACTGCAGACTTGAAATCTATATAACATGAGATCATGCAAGGCGATATCGTCCGTCCTTATTCTGATCTAGACCACGCTAGTCAAAGGGAAATAATTTAACTTTAACTGGAAATAATGTGTCAGTTATACTGTGCCCGTTGCTGTCCACATTTTTGAAACTGCTATTGTTTATTAAAATAATAAAGTGATGCTAAAAAAGACAACAACAGCTAGAAATGTGATGCAGCCAATCTCGATGTCCATCTCAAATTGCTCACTTTGTGCTGCCGATTCAATTGTGATTATATTTTCAGAGTATCAAAGTGCGACGCACTGAGCCAGACTGACACACAACACCACAGTCCCCCAATGTACTGGGGCTCATTTGGTGCTGATTCTCAGCTGTAACCTTATCCTCAGAACATCTCACTCGGAGGCGATATTCTGGGAGTATTTCTGCAGACGCTCTAAAGCAGAGCCGCAGACAAGTATCTCAGAGACTCGGGCAGCGGCTGCGAGGCCACATCTCCTCTATTTATAGCTCTGCTCGGAGCCTGAGCCCGGGTTTCCTTCAGGTTTCCCACACTCGGCGGCCAATCGCTGCTGTCAGCGGGACAATAGCGGAGGCTTTCCTTTCTCAATGGGAATTACTCACACTTCCACAATGCTTGACTTTTGTTAGAGCCGAGTCTCGGGGGAGCATCTGGAGAGCAGTTCTGAGCCAGTAACCGCGGGTCAGTGAGACTCGTGTAAGGTTATGAGAACGGGCCGAGGGGAGGTTCCCCCACGTGTCACCTTACACACACAACAGCCCTGAGGAAATCCAGCTCACAGTGAATTGCACCAGGAGCCCTGCAGATTGTTCAGGCAGAAATATATATATATATATATGTATGTGTTGAGATGAAATAACTATGATTTGCAAGATTATTGATCGGATTGTACACTTAGTAGTTATTTATAACAATGCTAATGAGATGCATTTTTTTCTAAAATCATGCAAATATTAAACTGTAAACAGCTTAGACTGGTTTGTCGGGGGTCTGAGCCACTTTGGGTTTAGAGTGAATGTGATTCAGAGGTTGTAACTGCATCCCGAATTTATATGATATGATAATAAGTTATTGAGATGATACCGGTTTCCACCTCGTTTCAACCCATTGGGAATCTCGCTGCTTTGGGCGCTGTTTTGGGTTGAAGATGACCACTCTGTTGTTCCCTGTGGGCGTTGTGATCGGATAAATGAGCTCATTCCCACCCTGTGATGAAAGGCAACAGCTGGACACGAGCCTTTTGTCTGTGGCACGTGGGAAACAGCAACATCTCGTCTCTCAGCACAGGAATGAGCAGTGACCTGAGCCAGAGCCAGGCAGCCACGCTCTCACAGTGCATGTGCCATCCACATGCCAATGATACCGTGTGCAATGTAGTTTGTGCTAGAGGTGTTTTAGAGGTCCAGCTAACTTGTATTGGTGTACATTATATATACATATACATATCATATACATTACAAGCTTGATTTTTTTTGCAAGGATTTACAGCTATATAGAATAATCATTTCAAAAAATATGTTCATTTTTGCAATGCCAATAAAGCACAGTCACATATGTGGAACAACAACTACAACAACAACCTGCATTTATACAGCGCCCTTCATGCAGTGTTTGACCATAAATATTTTTATAAATATAAAGACAAATGTTTTTATAAATATAAATGCAAATACTTTTCACAATTAAAAAGGAAGATTTTTAGGCGGGATTTGAAAGTGGGAGGGAGGGAGGGAGGGGGCAAGGCGGAGGGATTGAGGGAGAGAGTTTCAGACTTTCGGGGGCATAAAAAACCTTCCTTTTCGACAGTGATTACTTATCTGTTATGCATCTGTTTACCTAGCAGTAAGTAGGAACCAACAACAACAACAAGATTCCATTTATAGAGTGCCTTTCACGTCGGGAGTCCCGTCCCAAGGCGCTGGACAGTTGGGTCAGCAACCAGGTTGCTAGTTGACTGTCGAATCACTTTCCAGGAATAATAATCTCTTCAAAAGAAAAACTAATAATAATTTGGTCACTCCATCACTATTATTTGTGGAACATTGCTGTGTGGAATTTGTTTGCATGTTTTGCTCACAAAAATATACAGTCAATTCACTTTACAGTATATTCAGAGATGTCTTAATGACATTATAAGGCACTATATCAATTGCAAAGAACTATTATTGTTATAACTTAATTGGATTGTAGCCTATGTACATAATTATCCTTCACTATATTGCTTCAAAAGTATAAAAGTAATAAATTACATTTGAGATAGCAATTTTTCATGGGAGGAATCTCAAAGCGCTTCACATGCTTTTCTGCAAAGTGTAGTGACTATAATAATAATAATAATCCTCACGTAAAAGACCACATGATGTATTTTACGTCTTCTAGGCATCTTAAAGTGCTTCACAGAATATACTATAAAGTGAATTGATGTATATTTTGTGGGTGCAACTCAGCAGCCAATTGCACACAGCAGTGTCCCACAAACAGTCATGGACTGAGTCACCAAGTTATTATTATTTTTTTCGAGGGATTATTATCAGGCGTGTGGAATAAGGAAAATTGCCCAAGGTTTTGCCCTGCCGGGAATCAAACCCACGTCTCTTGCTTGCGAGGCGAGTGCTATAACCACTGAGCTACAGCTACAGGACTGTATTTTGTAGGTGAATGTGGCAGCCAAATTGAACACAACCACCTTCCACAAACTTTGATTAATTTTATCTGGGGGATTGTAAGACAGACCACCGCTGAGAAAATCCGTTCTCTTTTTGAATTGTGCATATTTTGAAACTCAAACAATCTGTAATCTCCAAGAGAAGTACAATACTTCAGGCAAATGCAGATTAACTTTGAAATGTAACGCTTCAAATACACTATAACAAGGAGTCTGTCATTGTGAAGTAATTCCCAGGCATGAAAAGCTTGCTAACGATTTCTTTGTGCATTAATGTTAGAGAAGACCGGAAAAATCCTTTAGTTGGATGATTTTCTCTCCTGTCCTGAGATCTAGTCAGCTCTGCCAGATAAAGGTTAGTTCCTTCAGAGAGTTTGCTTTGTACTGTTTGCTAGGGGTCTGACCTCTGATCTGTTTTGTGTTGTTGACACGTGGGAAATTTTCAGCCACAATTGCCTCATTCAAAGAGGTAAACGGATCACTGAACTCGAGCATGAGACTGGAACTGGGGCCAGTGCATTTGTGCGCTTCATCACAGATAATCACTGACTTAATATTGCATCTGATAGGCTAGAAAAATAACGTTTTTTTAATATTCTAATAACCCAGTTCTCTTTTTTTAAAAGAATAATGCATTGAATCAAATGTTCGGTCATTTTTTCCCCTCCTCAAATGAAGGCATGTTGTGCATAATTGGCTGCTGCGTTTTTCCCGCAAAATATACAGTCATTTCACAGTGAAGTGCGTTGAGACGTCTTGAAGACATGATAAGGCGCTATACCAAATGCAAGGATTATTATTATTTGATTCCTATCTCCTTACCTTGGGATACATCTCCATGCCTACAGTGCCCTCCAATACTTTGGCTAAGTGATGCTTCGCCTAAGCATTTCGAGATCTTGCTTTTTTAAAAAATGTTTCTTTAGGGTAAAAAATCCTAATGCGATTCCACATAGTATACAAACTTGCCTTGGTTTCTAACACCGGCAGAAATGCTATTCAAATCAGAGGTGATAAAATATGTCCTTACATTCAATCATTTATTTCTATATTTCCGTACTCTTGGCATCAACAACAACAAAATTACATTTGATTCCCGGCTTTCACGTCGGGAAGATGCCCCATGCGTTAGATAGTCAGTGTTTTAGACCCGAGCCGGGGGTCGTGATTGGGGAGGGTGGAGGGCAGTTGGGGAAGCTGGGTGATCGAAAGCAGGTCAAAGAGGAGGGTCTTGAGATGGGACTTGAAGGAGGCAAGGGAGGGGGTGAGGCAGAGGGACTGCAAGCAAAACAACAGATGTTAGGAATACACAAGTGCCCATGTTTCACATGTGAGCCTTGATAATGATTCCTGACAGGATATTTCAAACTGCAGGAGGCATTATAGCCAAACCTTATTCAGTCTTCATGTGATATTAGTCAGTCCTAGTGGTTGAGCTAGCACTACCATAGGCTGGATAGACAGTGTAGACTCTTATGCTGTAATCTTTATGATTCCATGACATCCACAAGTGCACTTTCAAAAGGGGGTTACTTGATAGCAATTTGCATGTGATTCCTGGGTGTTTTGTTTTCATCCTCCCTAAAGCAGATTTCCTTTAACCTTATTGCCCAAACTTGCAAACTCGCTATACCTGTGCACAACTTTGCCATTCAGTTCAATACTGAAATCTTGCTGTGTTGGCTCACCTATGCTTTTATTACCTCTCACCGTTTTCCTTCATTTCACCATCCACTAGCTCCAGCTCAACCTCTGCCACTTACACCAAACTCAACATGCCCAACACCGCTTGACTCCACTGGCTCTCTGGCTTCCAACTAATCAATTTCAAGATATTCACCTATAAACCTCTTCATGCTGTACAACTTCCCGATCTCTGTGGTATTCTCATATCTGAAGCATGAAGTGATTTGTAGGTGAGCGCAAGGATCTTGAAATTGATCCATTCCACGACAGAGACAGTGGAGGAACACCAACAACTTGCATTTATATAGCGCCTATCACGCAGGGTAGCTTCCCAGAAACTGGCAAAGATTGGGGTGATGGAGGTGTGAAGTTTGGTATGGGTGAGCATACGGTAGTGGAGTTTTGAATTAGTTGAATCTTGTGAATAGTGGAGCTGGGGGAAACCAGTGAGGAGGTCATTGGCAAACTCTGCATATCTTCCGCCCCCTCCACCCTACCTTTGGTGGCTAAACCTTCAGCAACTATACCCCGACACTTTGGAACTTTCACCTTCTACCTCTCAATCTCAAACTCTATCTATCCAATTAATTCCTGTCTAAAGCCCACCTCTGACAACCTATGGTCTAATCTCTCCACCCCCTCCTCTCTTGCTGGCATTCACAGCATCCATGTGAAGTGTTCCAAGACATCATCCTATTCTATGTGAAGGGCATGACAATATATTAATGCACGTTATTGGTATGGCTGTGGGTATGTGCAGATGGCCACTCCATCTACTCAGTATTCCTGGGCTTTGGATGGGGGAGGGGGAGAGGGAATCAACCCATGTGAAGGCTGCTATGCAAGTGGAAATTGTGGGCTGGTGGAGGTTGGGGGTTGGGGGGCCAAAAGCCCAGTGGAAGAAGAAAATGTTAACATAAACCTTAAAGGAGGTGAGGAAAGGGGTGAATCGAAGTGACTCTGGGATGGAGTTCTAGAGGGCGGGGGCAGGTATGCTAATAGCCTGACCGCTAATAGTGGAGTGGGTTGGGGAGGTTTATGGTGCAGGTCGGTGCCCGCTGAGTGGGGAGAGCGACCAGGTTTGTAGGGTTACCCACACCTGCTGAAAGCTGCCATGTGTGGACATCCAGACAGGACTGAATGAGACCCTGCACATGTCCCTGCACAGACAGCTGACAGTTAATCTCAAGGCTCTCACTTGAGCAATAAGCAGTTCAGCAAGTTCTGTTACCTCAAGAAGATGTTGCGAAGGAACAAAGTGACCTGAAACACACTAAAGGACTTCAGTTAACCCCTTCAGCCTCGCAGAATGAAAACAAGACGAAATATCGTTTTTCCTCTTCCAATGTTTGTTTCTTGTTGAGAAAAGGACACATTTCTAAGGTTCTTTAATATTTTCTGTTTTTATTTTACAGTTTTTACAAAAAGCCATTGTTGTACTTTCTGCAAACCCATGTTCCATCCCCAACATAATTTACAGGAGACAATCTCCTACACACCCATTTCCAATCATTGACCTAAATTTCTGTGGCTTCTTAATTCTTTTCATTGACATTTATATCATTGTACATTGCATTTTTACACAAAAAATTGTGCAAAACTGTTTAGTTGAAGTTATAAAATACACATAAAACTCACAGAGTTATCAATTAGAGCTAAACTTTTCATAGAAGATGAGAGATATCTTCAACAAGAAAGTCCAATTACTTTCTTCCATTCCCAGACACTAGAACAAGGAGAGATTTATTCTACACAATTGTTGGTGCCATCCCATTACTTTACACATTCATTGTGAATATACAGATGTTTTGCTCAATATCTCTACAAATATTGTAGAACAAAAGTCAAACAATATGACATTACAAAGTAAGGATAGTGTTTTAAAATAAATGTCCATTTAAACGACTACCCACTTCCTTCAATTTGAAGGTAATAAGGGAATACTTTTTCCATTCTGGAATACTGTTTTACTAGAGTACATCTCTAGTAGGTTGTGTTGGGCTCAATAAATACAGGGCTGTGGTTCCACCAGGGTCTCCATAGTGCACGTTTGAAAAGCAGGCAGGAGAGTGCACAGGAGATACAGAATTACACAGCTCCTCGGCTGGAATTCCATTCTTTGAAATATTGCTCCCGACTTTCTTCTGAACGTGATCCTGGGTGTTTGTGTGGAAGGAAACACCATCTCCCACAAACACGTGGGGAGTATCCCTGAGATACCTCCCTGGTCTGGCTCTCCTAATACTGTGCTTTGATCACTGTAGGTAGAGGAAGAACAGAACGATTTAGAATGAGGTTGACATGACAAGATTAATGAACAACAACAATGGAACATTAACTTCTTATTCAGATGTGTTGTATGTTATAGAGACTTACCACAAGCAGCTCCTGGGTCTGATGTTTCAGGGTGTCAGTTGTCACCAGATTCTTCTTTGTTCCTTTGAAATTTGCAACTCTCTTTTTCCCAGTGAAGTTTGAAGTGGATTGAACTTTTCCATCAGTTTGTTTGTTTATTTGTTTGTGTTTCCATCGTGGCAAGTTTCCTTCAAAACTAGTTTCACCAACTGAAAACGAGAAAATCGAAATGTAAATGTTTTGTGGTTTGTAACAGGTGGCGGAAATTATCAACATTGGTTATCACACACTGTTTCATTTAAAAACAAGTAAAAAGTTCCTTACCTTGAACTGTACTTGTCCATCAGCACATCAGCATTATATCTGAACCAGTTTGGAGCAATGGAGAGTGGTGGTGGGTGACTGGTTGGCTTTGCCTGTCACAAGCTGTATCCGTGTTCCCCTATTTATGGCTCGCAATGTGAGCTGAGCAGCCCGACACACAGTTTCCCACACTCAGTGGCCAATCAGCTCTGCTGAGGACCACAATAGCAGCGTCTCCTTGGAATGGCTGAATGGGCGCAGTTTGACTTTGTGTGTAGTGTATCTTATTCAAAAGAGCATCTGGACAGCACATATGACGCCGTAATCCCCGTCACATTCAGCATTCAGTCTGTGAGGTTAGCGGATCCTGGGAAAGCCACTCCCCTCGACATCCAAATAATAATCCCTTCAAAAAAAAATTGGTCACTCAATCCACGACTGTTTGTGAGACACCGCTGTGCGCAATTGGCTGCTGCACCTCGCCCACAAAATACACACTCAATTCGCTTTACAGTATATTTGAAGCGCTTTGAGACGTCTCGAAGACATGATAAAGCGCTATATCAAATGCAAAGATCATTATTATTATTATTATACACCATTACAGAATAAAATTTGGTCTCAACAACTGGTACAGCAATTTTACAATTTTAGGATTAGTATTGTTTTTAGTTTTAAAAAACCCTCTGTGATTCAGATGCTATTAACTATTTTAATGTCAAACACTAGCTGTTTTTTCTTAATTAGCCATGTTTTCTTGGCAGTTCATCATATGAGAGACTGAGCTACCACTTCCTTTGACTGGCCCGAGTCGTCACACTTTTTTGTCCCTGTGGAATTAAAATGCGGCTTTAATATTTTTTGTGAGACAATGCATTGTAATGGCAGCGTAATCATGCAATGACTGAAACATGACAGATTGCATTCACTGTGATCTCGATCATTCAGCAACATTTCATTAATAAGAATTTTAAAATAGTGAGATCTACGCTCATGTTAAACTAGGAAATGCAATATTAATAATTCTTACATTTGCTAGAGAGTCTTACCATGTTTCAATACATCTCAAGAAACTTCTTTATTCACCATAAACTTATTCAAGATACTTAGCAAAGAAGCTGCTCACTATTTTTTAACCTGAAATGTAGCAAAATACATGAACTGAAAATTTTACTTAGTAAATTAAGCTGTACATGAAAAAATGAGAGAAATTTATTCGCGGAGCCCATATTTTATAATGTGTCACAATAATAATAATAATCCTTGCACTTTATATAGCACCTTATCACATCGATGCGATGTCTCAAAGTTCTTCACAGAATATATTGTAAAGTGGATTGACTGTGTATTTTGCAGGTGAAACACAAATAAAAGCAAAAATGTTATGAATAAATCCATAGGTTGATTCTTGACTTGACCTATCATCAGATGTGAAATGGTGAGCTGAGGGAGACTATAACACTAATAAAATAAAACATTAGGAAGGATGTAGAAGTTGACTATAACCCCCTCCCTCTACGCACACTCTGCATATGTATGTGTGTGGGAAAAGCACCTAAGGTAGTGGTGGCCAACCTGTTTGGTTGACCAAACAAATTCATTTTCCTTCATTGAATTTTTCTCCATTTATGGTCTCGCAATGGGTATCGCAGCTCAGTAGCTACTGGAAACAAGGTGTTGATATGGCAAGGATTTGCAGTGCCTTTTGAGGCATCCAGACGTGGCCTGCCGAAAACCAGCATCAATCCAGGCAAATCCACACCAAACCAAAAACACAGTTACTACACCTTAGAGTAACATCTTGTGAAGTGCTCTGACATGTCCCCCGTCGTGAAAGACGCAATATCAAATACAATTATTATTAATATTAAGCTCAAAATGTACATAAAAATATACGTCTGGAACTTTCCCCCTCAATCCCTCCACTTTTCCGTCCCTTTTTCTGTCTTCAGATTGCACCTGATGACTTTCTTCTTCCACCATGCCTAAGGTCACCTTTCCTTTCTCTCCAGCTAGGCATTAGCTGTGCTATTGTTAAGTGCTCCAAAACACCTCCCCCACATGAAGTGTGCTACATAAATGCAAGTTGTATTATTGCACAAGCTGTAGACTAATCTTTAGAAGCTAAAAAAATTATCATTATAACAGGTCCAGCCTGACTGAGTTTATGTTCCTGCTGCATTGCCAGTTGTTTACAAAATAAATGTCATTGTAATCTTGTTTCTTGTAAATGTCTAACCTTCTGAAGAACGTTTGAGTTCAATCCATTCTCATACAAGTACAAGGATTCGCATAATACCTACTAATGCTACGTACATATAAAGGAATTATCCGGCTAATATTTATTGCTAAGTAAGTGTTAAAGAATAGACGTTTGTGTGAACAAAAAGGCCCTGATATATTTCCTTTGATGGTGAGATTTGTGTTCTTAGTTTGTAGGATTCTAAAGCTGTTGTTAGCTGTCATCTCTCTATTTATAGTACCCGTAAATCAACACTGCAAATAAACTGTACAAAACTTCTGTAATGGCGTAAGTCTGCATTTCCTCCAAGATAGATAATAGCCACAGAAGCCACCTGCAAATTGAACGGGTTTGGCACAGTTAAACCTTAATTTTATCCGTAGCCTGTCAGTCCCCGCTGTTTTCATCTGACCGAGTTCAGTGCTTTTGTAGTGACTGTGCAGCTGTTAAAGACTTGACCTCTGCTAATCTCCAACGCGTGGGAACGAATCTGCAGCAGCTGCCTCACATTCACCTTCAAACACACACTGGATTGTAAACGCGGAGACAGCAAGGAGAAGCTGAAGAGAGTCAGTGCAACATCTGCAGGACACAAGACCAGATGGATGTGTCCGTGCAATTTCACAGTCACCATTACACACCTCATCCTACAAGATAATAATAATAATAATACTTGCATTTGATATAGCGCCTTATCACTTCAAAGCGCTTCAAAGAATATACTGTAAAGTGGATTGACTTATATTTTGTGGACGAAACATTAGGGAAGAGAAGAGAGGTCAGCAAAAGTACAAATTTGGTGTATTTACATACCTTGAGGGACAGGTAGGCACAAAAGAATGGGAATAAACAATAATAATAATAATCCTTGCATTTGATATAGCGCTTTTCACGTCTTCTAGACATCTCAAAGTGCTTCACAGAATAGACTGTAAGGTGAATTGATTGTATATTTGAGGGCAAAATAAATTTAATTTACAATTATTTCTATACGCTACTTACCTTTGTTTACATTTTATAGACAAGGTATTAAAATATTAGAGATGAGATTTAAAATGAATCATACCTGCATTATGATCTGGTGTTATCTTCTACTGACAGAACGTACCTGTAACACAAGTTAAAACTTTGAAAGCAAGTAAGTGTTTTCTAAAATTTTAATTTGGATGCACCATTCAGGGTTCATGATAATAAGCATAATAATAATCCTTGCATTTGATATAACTCATTATCATGTCTTCAAGACGTCTCAAAGCGCTTCACAGAATATACTGTAAAGTGAATTGATTGTATATTTTGTGGGCGAAATGCGGCAGCCAATTGCGCCGATTGTGTATTTTGTGGACGAAATGCAAAATAAATGCCACTGTCTCAAAACAGGTGAGTTAATGTCCATTATATCTTTGCCTCTAGCCCTCTCTAAGCTTATCACAGCAGTGGTTCAGATGAAGAAGGACCTTCAACTCATTTGATCTTGTCCTTCCAAAATAGCGACTCTACCATTTTCGCATTACAGTAACAAACTGCTTTCTAAATTAATTCACAATATTGGTTTCTGCCAGCCTTCTTGGAAACTTTTGCAGCTGTAAATTATCCTCTGAGTGAAGAAATGCGTCCTGGCATCTGCCATAAACTTCCTCTAACCCTAACCCAATCACACTGAACTTGTGCCCTCTGGTCTTATCAAAATAACAAAAAAAATGTAATGATCAAAGCAAATATAGATGTCCAATGCTTTCCTTTGACATAGAGGATGTCAGGCACTTATTATACTGTATATGGTTTCTGCCTAATATATTATTTTGAAGCTAATAAACCAAAGCTGAATCCAGATTCAGATCTTCTATTAATACCAAGTAAATTCTGCGATGCTTCTCCTAATCTATGCCATTATATTAAATGTAAGGATTATTATACTGTAGTTATATCCACTTAATAAGACACTTGGTGTTATACCCAGACCACATGCAGTTCCGGTGAAACAAAGGCGTATTGTTTGCGAAGGTCACAACCAATTCGTCAAATCAGAGCACAGATACAGTTCAGTGGTTCAGATTGTAAGAGCGGGAAAAGCCACAGATTCCCATTGAGTTCACCCACTGAATAACCTCTCATTTCATCTCCCAAACAATTTTCTAATTACTGTATACTTCTCTCCTGTTATCAGCACCCCCCCACCACCACTTGCCAACAAGCAAAGAACTCCACCTTTTTCCTTCCTTTCATTACTGATTAAAGTAGATCCCAACAAAAGTGGTTAATCTGTTACCAACGTGTGCTGTGTTCACATCTTATTCAGGGTCCAATGATTCGTCACTTAATGAAGCACAGTACATCAAATCAATATAAATATTGTAAACAATAATGCATGATTCCTCAAAGCTGACCCAGTGTCATTTTATTCAACAATATGTTGAACTATACTTTTCTTTTGCTGTTCCTTTTCTCATCTGTATTCATGTATGCAATATCAGAACCATTCAGTTAAACTGAAGCAGTCGCTGGGAATGTCACTCACTGTGTCTCACACAGCTCTCTGGGATAGAACCCTGATTTTCTCCTCTCTGCAGCTTAAGAGTTTCCATTTGAATGTAGAGTGACTGGTATGCTATGCTCTCATGCTGTTTCCCACTACTCCCTGCTCATTCACTGTTCTTAGAGGGACAATAGCAGAAGCCTTTTCTTTTTACATGTTAAATGAGCACTAGTGTTTGACTTGCAGGACCATCTGGACAGCACGTACGACGCAGTGATCTCATCTAAGGTTACGAGATCCTGGGAAAACCACTCCCCTTGTCATCACCAAAGAATTCTCTGGAGAACACGGCTTGAACAGCACGTACAACAGAGGAATACTTCAGCGATTAGCTTCCTCTGAGGTTATGGGATCCTGAGAAAACTCCTCCCAGTGTCACTTCAAATTACATCACAGAAACATACCTTTTGTGAATTTCAGATAATCTAAGTATTTATAAAACATCTGAAACATTCCACTTTTTTTAAAAAAATGCCAATTTTCTCCCCTCTTCATCTCCTGAAGGCACTAAGTTCCCCGAGTACATTTCCTCTTGTTCATGCCTTCATCACCTCCAGGCTCGATTATGCAAACGTCCTGATTGTCAGCCTTCCCAACTCCTCCCTCCACAGGCTGCAGATAATCCAGAACTATACAGCCCATGTCCTCTCCCGCACCAAACTCCGTGACCCCATCTCCCCCACTCTCACCCAACTCCACTGGCTCCCTATCCTTCAAAGGATCCAGTTCAAAATCCTGGTCCTCACATACAAAGCCCTCCATGGCCTCGCCCCACCCTACCTCTGCGCCTCCAAATCCCCTACCAACCCATCCATTCCCTCCGCTCACGTCCTCCGACCCACCCGCCCCACCATTGGCGGGAGAGCCTTCAGCCACTCTGCCCCCAACCTCTGGAATTCCATCCCCCAGTCAATCCATCGCCCCCTCCTTAGCTCCTTCAAGTCTGCCTCAAGACCCTCCTCTTCGACCATGCCATCGGCCACCCTCCTTATCCTCCCCTCCCTTCTCCCCCCCTGAACCCAGCTCGGGTCTGAAATGCTGTACACTGTCCAGCGCCTTGGGACGTCCTCCCGACGTGAAAAGCACTGTACAAAAGTAATCTTGTTGTTGTTGTTGTGGTTCCATGGATGGTGGCCAATCTCTGGTACGTTGCCCAAGTGGCCAATCCCTTAAAAAAAATTCTAATTTGGTCACTGAATCCGTGACTGTTTGTGGGACACTGCTGTTCACAATTAGCTGCTATTTTGCCCACAAAATACACAGTTAATTCACTTTACAGTATATTCTGTGAAGCGTTTTGAGATGCTTGAAAGAGTGATAAGGTGTATTCAACTCAAGGATTATTGTTATTTTCTGGGGGAAAGCTTTTGACTAATTTTCTACTCCCAGCCCAAGGTCACGAAAAGCAGTTGTATTCTTGGTACTGTTCCAGCTGAAATCAGCTAACTCAGTGCAGATGATATTTGAACATAATAATAAACCTTCCATTTGAGGTAGTGATTTATCACATCTCCGACACGTCTCAAAGCGTTTCGCAGAATATACTGTAAAATGAATTGACTGTATATTTTGTTGGAGAAACGCAACAACTGCAAACAGTCGTGGATTGAGTGATCAGACGTGAAAAATATACAGCCAATTCACTTATTCTGTGAAGCGCTTTGAGACGTGATAAGGCGCTGTATCAAATGCAAGGATTATGTGATGTCCAAAGCGAGCAAGTTCTCTGTGGATGTCGCGGTAATCCAGTTCCTGAGCCGGGCGGGTCCACAGTACTCCAGGGCACTGCTGATGACAGCACAGCCATGTTGGCTCATCGGAAAGACTTGGAAGGGCAGACCAGTCACTGGGGACACAGAATCCTCCCAGTCAGCTCCTTAACCCTGCAAGTCCTGTAGCTCAGTGGTTAGAGCACTCGCTTTGCAAGTGAGAGACCTGAGTTCAATTCCAGGCAGAGGGCGAAACCTCGGGCAAGTTTCCTTACTCCACACAGAGCCTAATAATATTCCCTCCAAAACTAAAAACAATAATTAAATTGGTCATTTTCAATCTACGACTGTTTGTGGGACATTGCTGTGCGCAATTGGCTGCCGCGTTCGCCCACAAATATAGTCAATTCACTTTACAGTGTATTCTGTGAAGCGCTTTGGGACGTCCTCCCGACGTGAAAAGCGCTATATCAAATGCGAGGATTATTATTGATTATTATTATTAAGTCAAAACCCTAATGTGGTCCTCGCTGGACACCAGCAGGAAAGCTTTGCCGACAATGTAATCAATGGCAAGCTCTGCGGGTGTAGCTGGTTAGACTCCAGCGGTTACCCCGAAGCACACCCTGGGATCCCCAAGCAACGGAGACTCAGCCTGGACAGTGAACCTTAAACTAAAGCCAGGGCGCTCCCGACTGAGGCGGCAAACTGGCAGACAAACTCTCACTTTTTTTGTAGATATGATAGAGACGGTCTCACCTCCGTGTCTGCACACGTGGGCCATTGGCTGCTGCGTTTCGCCCACAAGGTATACGGTCAATTCACTTTAAAGTATATTCTGTGAGAAGCGCTTTGAGACGTGATGCTACATCAAATGCAAGGATTATTATTATTATAGTAAGTAGCCCTTTATTATTATTATTATTATTATCATTATTATTATAGTAAGATATCCCTTTATTATTATTATAGTAAATTGCCCTTTATTATTATTATTATAGTAAGATGTCCCTTTATTATTATTATAGTAAGATGTCCCTTTATTATTATTATAGTAAGATGTCCCTTTATTATTATTATTATAGTAAGATGTCCCTTTATTATTATTATAGTAAGATGTCCCTTTATTATTATTATTATTATAGTAAGATGTCCCTTTATTATTATTATTGCAGCTGTTGTGTTGGGGGCGGAACCTTTGTGATGGGAAAGCCGTGGTTGACCGGAGAGGTGTAACGCAGGGACCCGTTGACAGGAAGTAGCGGAGCGTATTTCCGGTGTGCGGGAGAGTCGGTGTGAAGGCTGCTGGGAGGGAGGGAAGGCGGGAGGGAGGGAGGGAGCGGTGGTTGAGTGTTTCTCTCTGTTACCAGTGTCCGGGCCGAGGCCCGGAGTCAAAGGGCCTCATCATGGGCAAGAGACAGCACCAGAAGGACAAGATGTGAGTGTCGGAGGAGGAGCTTCTCGCACCTTCCTCTCGTGTTGTGGTACCAGGTTCTCTCTCTGCCCTGAGTGATGCCTTCCTCTCCTCCAATGGAGAGTGGAACTGCTCTCATCAGAGCCACCCCCACCCTCTCTCACAGTGTTTGTTTTTTTTGGGGGGGGGGGGTGTCTGGGGGAGTAGTTTGGGGGGTGGTATGAGGAGTTTGGGTGGGTGGTATGAGGAGTTTGGGTGGGTGTTTTGGGGCGGGGGAGTAGTTTGGGGGGTGGTTTGGGGTGGGGTGGTATGAGGGGTTTGGGGTGGGGGAGTAGTTTGGGGGTGGTGTGCGTTGGGGGTTTGGGTGGTTTGGGGTGGGGTGGGGGAGTAGTTTGGGTAGGTGGTTTGGGGGGTTTGGGTGGGGGTTTGGGTGGGGGGTTTGGGTGGGGGGTTTGGGGTGGGGTGGGGGAGTAGTTTGGGTAGGTGGTTTGGGGGTTTGGGTGGGGGGTTTGGGTGGGGGGTTTGGGGTGGGGTGGGGGAGTAGTTTGGGTGGGGTGGTTTGGGGGGTTTGGGCGGTGGGGGGGAAACCGTGGCCCAAGTTGCCATTCTCAACCTGTAGATGGATTGTGAATGTTGGCATCGTGTTTAATCCCAAACTGTTTAGTTTTCCGACACCGTTTACGCGCTCTGAGAAGCTTCTCTGTGTGGAGAGATGAGTGCTTGTTGTTGTTGTTGTTGTTTTTAACTGGTTGGGGGTATCTGCCAGCATCCATACTGTGTGTGTGGGAGGTGGGAGAGAGAGAGAGAGAATGTGTGAGTGGTGGGGGGGGGGAGGAGAGAGAGAGAGGGTGCCTCACACACTCTCTTGCCTAGTTTAATAATAATAATTTGGTGACTCACTCCACGACTGTTTGTGGGACACTGCTGTGCGCAATTGTCTGCTGCGTTTCGCCCACAAAAGTCGCTACACTTTACAGTATTCTGTGAAGAGCTTTGAGACAACTCGACGACGTGTTACGGCGCTAAATCAAATGCAAGGTTTATTATCATGTGAGTGAGGGGTCTTTGAGTACTGAACAGGATCGGAACCTTTAATTTTATTCCCATCTAGCTCCCCATTATTCTTAGAAAATGAATATACTTACTTTTTATATAATACCCCCACTGGAGCTCTCTCTAATCCCATTCCCTGCTTTCTCCCCATTGCATCTTTCAGATGAGACGTTAAAACGAGTTGTGCTGCATCGTTTGCCTACAAGTACACAGTCACTCCATTTCACAGTAAAGCCTATGAAGCGCTTTGAGATGCCCTTCCGATGTAATAAGGCGCTATATCAAATGCAAGGATTATTATTAGCTTATCACGTTGTCATAATGTGTAGTGAGCGTTTTTGTAGGCAAACACATCCGTCAATTTCTGCACAGCAGTGTCTCACAGACTGTCATGATTTTTGGTTTGGAGTATAGACCACAGGTTTCCTTAAATATGCCACACAAAGTGTTATTGTGCTGAGATACATGAAGGTCGGGTTATTCTACTGAATTAATTGGTAGAATGCTGTTCGTAGCTCATGTGAAATTACATGGTATGTAAACCAAGTGAATGTTAGAGATAAGTAACACAATGTTTCTCATTGTATGTGTTGGATTCAAAATCTGAAGTCATCTGTATAGTAGCTGCTAGTATTGTAATTTATATTTAGCAAAGGAGTCACAGACAATTTACAAATAAAAAATATTTAGTTAAAATCTGAGGCGATGATCAACACTGAGCACCTATCAGTGAGGGTCAGTAACAACATCTGTAGCATTTTTTGTATTCAATATTTTTTAAAAATTATAGCTCAAACATAAGAAGTGTCTAATGTTAACTGTAAGGGCTTTGAGATGTCTTGACAACAACTTGCACTTATACAGCGTACTTCATACATTTCACTTTATCTCTGTGTGCTGAGCGTCTCTGATGTCTCAATGATTTATGAAATGCAAGTATAACTGTTTCTCATAAACATTTGTCTAGGTAATACTGTATGATGTTTGGTAATGCTTGCTGAGTTGAACTGAGCTGTGGTTTTCTTTTCTAGGTACATTACCTGTACAGAATACACAAACTTCTATGGGGGCAAGAAAACAGGTACCAAAACTTCCCAAAAATTAACATAACATGTAGGAGCAGGAGTAGGCCATTCAGCCCTTCGAGCCTGCCCCGCCATTCTATCATGGCTGATCTTCTAATCTAACTCCAGCTAATAACCTGACCCTGCCTTATCCCCATATCCCTTAATCCCTTTTGCAATAAGAAATCTATCTATCTCAGTCTTGAATATGTTCCAGGACTGAGCGTCAACAGCCCTTTGTGGTAGCGAGTTCCATACATTCACTGTTCTTTGAGTGAAGAAGTTCTTCCTCAACTCAGTGCGACAGGGCTGGCCTCTGATTTTAAGGTTGTGACCACTGGTTTTAGTTTCTCCAAACAGGGGAAACAATCTCCCACTATCTACTCTATCATGCACTTTGATGATCTTAAAGGTTTCTATAAGATCCCCTCTAATTCTTCTATATTCCAGAGAATATAGGCCCAAATTGGTCAGCCTATCCTAGTAACTCAACCCCTTCATCCCTGGTACTAACCAAGTAAATCTACGCTGCACCCCCTCCACGGCAAGTACATCCTTCCTTAAATGAGGTGACCAAAACTGCACACAGTATTCCAGGTGTGGTCTCACAGGGCCCTATACAGTTGCAGCAAGACTTCCCTACTTTTATACTCTAATCCTTTCATAATGAATGCTAACATACCGTTCGCCTTCCTAATTGTTTGCTGCACCTGCAGACTAACTTTCTGTGATTGGTGTAGAAGGACACCCAAGTCCCTCTGGACGCTAACACATTCCAATCTCTCCCCTTCTAAAAAATGACCCGCTCTACTGTTTTTGCTACCTAGGTGGATGACTTCCCATTTCCCTACATTATACTTCATCTGCCACCTACCTGCCCAATCACCTAAACTATCTATGTCTCGCTGCATTTTTTCAATGTTTGTAGCATAGAATGAGGCCTTGAGGCAAGCCAGCCTTCTAGCAAATCATGGTGATGCCTTTTTCACTGGAGCAAACTGCTCTAATCCTTCCATTAGAGTCCTGTTGGAGAATTAATTTAACACAAATTTCTCTGTGTACTTTCCACGAGTAATCGATTATTTTGGGAGATTTCTGGATATTGCTGGAGTGATGCATGCAAATTTCAAAAACATATTTGGGGCTGTAAGATTGTACAGGAGAGACCATCTTTCTGAGGCTGCGGAGGCACTGTGTGTGCACGTCCCTGAGATTTCCTGTGTGTGCTGCTCACTGGAGGCAATGGTGTAACGTGGCAAGTGCTGTATCATTGCCACAAAATCGTGCCTGGTCACATTAGTGACCCAATTAGGTTGGTCATTATTCCTTCCATTGCACAGGGAAGAGCTTTATAGCTGGGTAGTTGTATCCAGCTCATGTATGGATACGTGTGCCTATTTGCACCCACCCTTTGGAACTCCATTCCACATTCCCTTCACCTCACTCCATCCGTTGCCTCCTTCAAGGCACGTCTCAAGACCTTCCTCTTCGACCGAGCTTTCGGCTACCCTCCCTGCCCTCCACCATTGGGTCTTGGGACATCCTTCTGACGTGGAAGGTGCTATACAAATGTAATTTTGTATTGTATTTATGAAATTATGCACCTTTATTTAAATAAAGAAAACTTTCTTAATGGCACTAAAATGATTTGCTATTAAATGTATCGCCAATATATGATGTGTGGATTTGGTTCTCTTCGGAACCAAATTAATCAAGATTAATTGATTTATCCTTTTCTCTTTAAATCAATAGAAGATTCATTTTATCCTATTTTCTCCTTCAGTTATCCCACAGGCCAATTTCCGCCGTTTGCCCTTTGATCACGGCAGGTAAGGCTTTGCATTGACCCTGCCCGATTTATTGGAGTTATGGTCAGCCTACGCTCAGAAATCGTTCAACCTGGAAATAGACCGATGTATTTCTTTGGTCAGCAGTGTGGTATGCCTGACACCTGTAGAAATTGCTGACCATTTGCTGAAGGCTTTCCAGTTTCACCCACAATAGAATCATTTTGTTTGCCAGTTCTGGATGGAACTTGTCTCTAGATTGTGGGGGAGCAGTGGCTGAAGGCTTGGTTATTAAAGGGGTGGGGGACTCGCGACAGGCCTGAGATTGCAGCGCAGAAGGGCGAGCAGAAGAAATGGTGTAGGAGGAGATCAGGAAGTATCAGAGCATGGAGGGATTTATTGCTGCCATGAACACCCATTAATGAGCCAGAAGCTGGTCAATGAATTTCCACTGATGAGTTAGACAAGCTGGTCAATCAGTAGCAGCTTCATAGTCTGTTGAGATCAAATGTGAATTGAGTATGTAATTATACTTTCTTCCCCCTTTGCAGCTTGTCTCTTCAGCCTTTTGAGTACCCGGTGTGTACCCCTGATGGAATGGTATTTGACCTCTTGTAAGTATAAAGGACTGAATCTGTTAGCGAATAATCATTGTTAATACTCTTCACAGTAATCTGATCATTATTGATTTGCACAGGAGCATTGTGATTGTCATTGCTGCGCTCCGAAAACACTTCCCATTGCTCCCCCCCNTCTCGTTAACTTACATTTTGAAAGTAGTTCTATTGCATCAGAAACCTTGGGAATGTAATTGCACCTTCCTAACAGTGGTCAGAAAGTTCCTTATCCTTATAGAATTCTACAGAGAAACATAGTCTGTATAACTCTAAAACAGGCCAATTAGTGTGTGCTGTTGTTTGTACACCCATGAGTCTCCTCCCATCCTAATACCATCTCCCTATCCCACTCCCACACCTGTCTTTCTTATGTACGCAGGATATTTCCTCTTAAATGCTTTGATGCTTCCTGTTTGAACTACAGCTTCTAGCAGTGAATTCCACATTCTCACCACTCAATGTGTGTATTAAAAAAAATCCGCCTAAACTCCCTTTTGTATATGTTTGTGTCTTTCTTGTATAGACTCCTTTTTATACACTCAGCAACAAGTGGAAACAGCCTATTTATGTCCATCTTAATGAAAGCTTTCATAATTTTACACGTAGTGTAAAGGAATATGAGAGGAAAAGAAATGAAAGCTTTTGACTTTTATCAGTGAACACTGTAGATTCAGGACAGCAGTCTGAGCGCCGAGATCACCACCTAGTGGCCCCAAGCTGCCGAGATAGACCAGTTGCTGAATTTTAGATTCTGTATTAGCCTGGGAACAATCCTCTCTAGAAGCTGATTTGTGGTTGCAGCGTCCTCTACTGGGACGCTATCAAGGGCACATCAGTATCATGGCATAACTTAAAAACTTTTCAAAGTCGTTCACAGTTTGGAATTTCACCCTCGGGAGCATCAATTTACGGTCCTGAAAGCATTGTGAGAGGGTACCACTGGTGGGGGGGAAAAGGTCGTTTGAAACCTTCACAACCATTTCGCATCAGTTCATATTTTACTTAAAAATAAAACTCTTTAACAGTTTTATTCTTACACCTGTTTGGACATTCTCTGTGCTGTGGTTAGCTCCAGTGAATGATGCAAGTAGGTAATCTGCTCTCAGGCCTCTGCCAATGGCACTCACTCAGCCTCTGTGCTTTTGTTCATTCTCATGAATCCATTAAAGAAGAAAGTTACCACTGAACTTGGTGACCGAATTGCAGTGTTACTGTTTAAAGGTTCATTTTTATTCTTGCATCTCTTTGGACAGTCTCTGCTATATTCTTAGCTCCCACCAACAATTCAGGTAGGTAATATGTTTTCAGGCCTCTTGTCAGCAGCACGCAGGCAAAGGTGAGATGGAGTATTTCCCCATTTTGGGTACCAGTAGAAGTACCAAATATTGTCAGGTAGATAAGTGTGCAGCCATTTAGAGCAGAAAAGCTACCGTCCTCACAAGAGAAGCACCCCCTGAATGACTGCATTTCCACTTCCCACATACTGTGGATTCATGAGTAAGATTGCCAAATTAACAACAACAAAATTACATTTATGTAGCACCTTTAGGTCGGAAGGACATCCCGAGGCTCTGAACAATTAAGGGTTTGCAAAACTAGTTCCCAACAGTAAATAGTATTAAAATGCAGGATGAAACTGTTATTTCACTGTTCACTTTCATTTATTTCTTCAACTGGTATCATCCTAGCTCAGTTGGTACCAGCCCGGCTTCTGAATCGGGGATTCAAACCTCACATTGGGACTTTGAGCTCACAATCTAGGCTGACACTCCAATGCTGTGCTGCGTTGACAGAGGTGCTGTCCTTCAGATGAGATGTTAAACCAAGATCATGTCTGCACGTTCAAGTGGATAGTAAGGAACCTATGGCACTATTCAAAAATAGAAAGGAGTTTATCCCAATGTCAATAATCCCTCTTCACAGCTGTTTGTAGGACAATGCTGTGTTCAAATTGGCTGCCGTGTTCGCCTACAGATATACAGTCACTAAACTTTACAGTTAATCTTGTGAAGCGCTTTGAGATATTCTGATGTGGGATTATATAGCAAAAGCAAAGATTTGTTTAACACAATGACCTTCATCCATGGTATACTTTTAGTTCATTTCTTCTTGTGAACTGTTTGGGACTTTTCATTGCAAGTGTGCTGATCTGAGTGAAATATGTTTATCCTTATTGACCCATCTATAAACAATATCCTTATTGACCCATCTATAAGGATTTCGGACAATTTCAAGCACCGTCTGCAGTGTATAGGGAGCATTACACAATAATATGCTTTGTCATATTTCACAAGATGCCCACAAAGAGGATTAAGTAAGATTTACATTAACACAGAAACACAGCAAGTGATCTTCCCCCTTTTTTGCAGGGTTGAGTAACGTTCCAATGGGTGTTGATGAACTTGAAGTGTGCTGGTGCACATCAGGGACACCACAGCCTCTAAGAGCAGTGTCTGTAGTGTATTGGTTAGAGTACTCGCCTCGCAAGCGAGAGGACTCGGGTTCGATTCCCGGGCAGGGCGAAACCTTAGGCAAGTTTCCGTACTCCACACACCTGTGTTTACCTGGCAATAAATAGGAACCTGGTTGTTACCGCTTTCCGGGGGTAATAATCCCCTAAAAAAACATAAAAAATAATAATTTGATCATTCAATCCATGACTATTTGACTAATTGCTATGCTCAATTGGGCTTTCGCCCGCAACGATATACAGTCAATTCAACGACATGATAAAGCGCTATATCAAATGCAAGGATTATTATCTCCGAGGTGACTGCAACATCTTTTGTGAAACTAAAAATGAGTAGAATGTGGTGTGTAGTGGACATTATGTCTTGTCCAGATCCAAGTAGATGTATTGGTCCTGTTCAGAAGGTGACTGACTCGCTATATCTTATTTCTCTGCAGGAGTATCATGCCATGGATAAAGAGATATGGAACCCATCCAACTACTGGAGAGGTGAGGATTCTGTGCTGAGTATCTTTCATATTTCCCCCCCCGGAGCTGTTAACAATTAAGGACAAATCCTATTGTAGTCATGAAACAAAATCTTTACAGACAACAACACTTGCTAACCTGATGTGTTTAACTGATTTTCTCTCCAGAGTACCTCTTGGATTTATATCTAATTACTTTTTTTTTAGAAAGGTCAATGTTTCCATTTGACAGGTCACACATGAAACACTAACTCATCTTTCTTCAGTGCTGACTGTCCATTGCCAGAATATATTGTGTTATATAGGTCATGTGTGTCTCAGAAACCTGGCCGAGTTTTTTCTGAAAGTCACTGGTTGGGGAGAATCAATGGATGTTGTTTATATGGATTCTCAAAAGGTTCCACACCAGAGATTATTGAATAAACTCAAAGTGCATGGAATTGGAGGAAACATTATGAAATGGATAGGAATTTATTTGGGGCAGAAGGCCAGAGAGTTGGGGTAAAGGGCAACCAGGGTTCCTGTCTGAAAAGTGGGAACAGCTTTAAAGTGTTTTCCATTGACTGCAAAATGGTTTAACAGCCAGTGAAAAACAAAAAACTGCAAGATTAATGGTGTTACTTTGTTGATGCAACCAGATAAACCGAGGTTCTTTTTGCCTATCCAGGTGGACATTAAGCTACTATTAGAAAAAAAATTAAACTGCTACTGTTTGAAAAAAGTAGTGAGTTTCTCCTGGGCAGCAAAGCCCCAATACTATTGATTATTCACTTCATAGCTGTTTGTGGGACGGACATGTGTGTGTGCAAATTGACTAACGTTCACCCACAAAACGCTCAGTGACTTTACGGTATATCCTCTGAAGCACTTTGAGACATCCTCCCGATGTGATACGTGCTGTCCCAAATATTATTATTATTAATAACAACAGTCAATAAGCAGCCGACTTATTACAGTATATAGTTTCCTACCACTAGGTGGCAGTCAAACCCTACCTGATCATTTGAAAAACTATTTTTTTGTCCTTTGGTGCATTTCTCTTACCATTACCTTCCTGTTCCCAGGTCCCTCTGGCAGCGCTGCGTCATAAGATCCATGTGCATGTCCCAGGGTGACCCTTTCCCCCTCAATATCTACTAGCAAATGACTAGCCTCCTTTTATTGATCATTGTAAGGACAGGGCTGCTTCCCATTAATCTGGTGGAATAACATAAGGCCTAGTGGCAATACAGAGAAGAGGACTGAAGCGGATCCCTAGAGGGATGGACCATGAGGAATAATGAGATTCTAGGGCTTATCAAGATTAATCAGATTAATGTGGAGTCCTGTAGCTCAGTGGTTAGAGCACTCGCTTTGCAAGCGAGAGACCTGAGTTCAATTCCAGGCAGAGGGCGAAACCTTGGGCAAGTTTCCTTACTCCACACAGAGCCTAATAATAATCCCTCCAAAACCAAAAACAATAATAAATTGGTCACTTCAATCCACGACTGTTTGTAGGACATTGCTGTGCGCATTTGGCTGCCGCGTTCCCCACAAATATACAGTCAATTCACTTTACAGTGTGTTCTGTAAAGCGCTTTGGGACGTCCTCCCGACGTGAAAAGCGCTATATCAAATGCAAGGATTATTATTATTATCAATCCATTAAGAAAATAAAATGGGAATGAATACTTAAATAAAAAAGAAGTCCTGTGGCGAGTACTTCTATAATTGACATTGGGAATAAACAGTCATTTTGAAGGCTTCGTGATACATTAGAGGTGGCTGTTAAGCACAAGTCAGTGTGCGGAGGAATTTAAGAGTCGGTATTAATGGTGAAAACAGGAACACTCTGTCCTCCGCATGTTCCATTGGTTTCTAAAGTCAAAGCCTCACTGTAACTCACTGACTGTTTTGAAAAGGGTTTGTATAAACTCTCCCTATACCAGTTATTGCCACCCGACCCCCCCCCCCCCGTAAATATCCAGTATCGTGGGTTCCGGGTGTCATTTAATCTAGTTCACCTCCTGGAGGAGGTAGAGGAATGGGAGAAAGCAATGCTTTAACTTCTCTTTACTTTCCAACTTCATCAGTACCGTTCCAGAGTTTCAGCTTTCAGCACTGGCCAAACCTCAAATATGCAGACCTCTCAGTGAGGTCAAAAATGGGATTTCTTTGAAAATTGTTAACGTGCCAAAGTTGTCAGACAAGTTTGAGCAAACCAGTCCCAGGTGGAGATATTTTCAACCGTTTCAGTTTGTCAGTAACTCTTGCTGATGGATTGTGCTACAGATTTGAGTGAGTTAATGCCTACACTACCCCAGAATGATAGCAGGAGTGGGTTCTCTTTGATCATAAGTTTCAAATATTGTAACCCCGTGAGCTTATCATCCCCATCCTCGTCTGCCTTCATTGGCTCCCCATCCTCCTAGACGAGTAAATTCAGGATCCTACTCCTCACTTTTAAAGCCCTCCACAACCTTGCCACACACAACCTTCTGTGACCAGCTAGAACCTTACCGACCACCCCACTCCCTCTGTTCAGCAGGCCTGTTCCCCACCTTGCCTGCCCCACCATCTGCAGCTGGGCTATCAGTCTTTCTGTCACCACCCTCTGAAACTCCAATCCCAGAGTCCCTTCACCTCATCCCTTCCCTTGCCTCCTTCAAAGTCTGTCTAAAGACCATGCCTTTGGTCAACTCCCATCCCCTCCCCCCCCCCCCCCCCCCCCCCGAATACAACCCCCACCCTTGACTGTCCAGCACTTTGGGACATTCTCCTGACGTAAAAGGCGCTACGCAGTGTAATTTGTTGTTTATTGTTGTTGAGCGACCAGAATCTCAATTCCATTATAATGCAGTTTTTTTTAACTGCTCGATCGAGACCGAGAAGAAACTTCTAGCACATTTATAAATCTGCTGCCTTTTTGAAATGCTGTCAGAAGCTGTTATCTTCATAGGAAGGTGAGCAAGGTTACAGGGGAACGATGAGCCCACTAACATTTGAGGTTCTGATGGGCAATTCCAAATCAGTTTATAAACCTTAGCTTTCAGGGTTAAATTAAGTAAGTTAAGTGGCAGCAATATCAACAATCTATAAAATTCCTGAAAGCTGCAGTTTGTAATGTATATCGTACCCACGCCTTGTACGATTCTGCTGGCTAAGTCGCTTCAGGCTTGATTTCTTGTGGCTGCTTAATATGTTGACCTCCTCAAATGTAGCAAATTGCAGATTTGTTGACTCTGTGCACATCAAGACTCCCAAAGGCCTAGCCGTTCAGCTTTGTGCTTTATTTTGAAATTGTCGAGCTTTTTTTCCCTGAGGCTATAGCAGCAGGGAATCGCTGTGTGCACTCTGTGTTTGTTTACATCTGCCAGTTGTTGTCCATGGCACTCGCACAGTCAGCAGCCCCGAATCAGCCGGCTCCTGGTATCATGATATTTAGTAACGCAATCAAAACTCCAATTTAAAATGAGGCATGGAATGCAGTCTGATTGAGGGGCTGAGAAGTCCTAATCTGTGAATCTGGGATTTAGATGGTTTTGAGTTCTGTGATATCTGATGTTTTTTATTTAAAATTAATGTTTATTTCACTCTCCCCTCCCCAACATTGCCTGCCATGGAAATTGGGAGATTTGCTGAATGATACCAGTAACGAGAAATTATAGTTATATGGAAAGATTTTCTAAAAGCTGTTACTATCCCCCTACCTACCTGCCCGTACCCTCCGTTCCTCCGGCTCCGGTCTGCTCCACATCCCCCGCCCCAAGCGCCCTCCATCGGTGGTCGGGCCTTCAGCCTCTCAGCCCCGAGGCTCTGGAACTCCATCCCCCAGTGCCTTCGCCGCTTCCTCCCTTTCCTCCTGCAAGGCCGGTCTCAAAACCTTTCTCTTTGACCATACCTTCAGCTCCCCTCTCGACTCTCTTCCCCCTCCTCGCTTTCTCCCTTCCCTCCCCTCACCCTGACCGTCTCCCCCCACTGCTCGGGTCCTGACCCAACTGTACAGAGCCTTGGGACATCCTCCCGACATGAAAGGCGCTCTATAAATGGAATCTTGTTGTTGTTGCTGTATTTACTGGAACAGGCAATGTTAAGGGAGATCTACCAATTAGGGTTGGAAAAATCATGTTTTCCAAAATATGAATGTTTTGATGGGGTGTAGAGAATAAACTTTTTATTAGCAAAAGAAAAATGAAACAGGGATGGTGGGTAGAAGATTTTTATTCAAACAAGGTTTTTAGAATAAAATAATCCAGCAGGGTACAGCAATCAGATTTGTTTCACTTGAGTCTGATATTTATGCTGGAATATTGTTATTTTGATGCTTCATTAGGTTTCAGATCTGCTTATAGCCACTTTCTTTTCCAAGACCTGAAGAATGTCAAACCTCTTTCTTTCCTTCTGCAATTGACATACAAAACTCAATGTCCACTTCACCTACCCTCTTTTCTATCTTTTGAATCTTAATAATAATAATCCTTGCATTTAATATTGTGCCTTTCATGTCAGGATGATGCCTCAAAGCGCTTCACAGAATTTTTACTGTGAAGTGTAGTGACTGTATCTTTATAGGTTAATCTGCGAGTCCATTTGTGGGTGTCAAATAGCAATGTTCCATAAACAGCCATGAAGTAAGTGAGCAATTTTATCTGGCCTGATCTTTAAAGTCCATCTGAATCAGCAAACGGGACCTCGATTTAACCTCTTATCTGAAGGACTGGCTTCCAGCAATGCAGTGCACTCATCTCCAGTACTGCTTGGGAGAAACTGGCTAGGCTGAGTTTAAAGTTCAGACGTGGGGCTTGAATCTACAACCTTCTGTAAGGGCTGGTGAAAGGGGTGACACTACCTTGGTGGTGGTCCACACCACAGTTCACCCCCTGCCCCCCGCTCCCTTAGCAAAGTTTCTCTGAAACAATCAGACTCACTATTGTTTTAATTTTCTGTTACTGTGAACACCAGTTTTTCTAGTTTAAAAGTTCATAGACTTATTACAAAGGCATTGATCAGAAAGGAATGAGAGCCCAATAATTCTGCTGACTT